ATAGATAGATAGATAGATAGATAGATAGATAGATAGATAGATAGATAGATAGATAGATCCTAGACTGTGCTGAACATTAGCTTGGATTGAAATACTTCGTTATTGGTTGCCCTTTTTCTCGGAATGCGCTTTGTGGCAGGCTAGTAAGATAGATGACAACACTGCTGTGCTCCTCTTCCACTCTCCATAATCTATATTCGCATACATGCTACCCGAATTAAGGAGTCATTTGCCGTTTCCGAGCACGTCAGTTAAAAGCATAGAATTTGAGTACCAAAATAAGGGCAAATCGAACGTACTGATATAAGCCCAGTGTTACAGGAGCCATCATTCTGCTGAACTTTTTAAACTCGCGACAAAGGATTATTCTCACATCATAGCTCGTTGCTTTAAGTAGTAAATAATAAACTCATTTTGCAACTACATTGAAACGGTATTACAGTGACTCACGATAGACCCCAGCAAAAAAGGATACATGTCTCAATATTGGCCCCTGAAATGAAGCCGGATGTGTCGAAGTTGATACGGATGAATTTGCCCTGCAACGGAAGATATATATATACGGAATTATGAAAAATAAGATGCCTTATATCATTGATGGGGTATCCTCATTAATCAACGCACCTATTCTTATTGAGAACTAGACCCCTACGAAATCCAGGCATTGTATCTTTATTAAGCGTTCTAGTCCTCTATTTAGGAATTGATTCAAGTAAAATCAGCATACACTACCAAGGATTGTGTGAATGGGATAGCCTGATATGTGGCTCTATAATAACATTCATGTCATTCATTTAAAATGGACGGCTCATCAGAGTAATGACCCCCGAGTATTGAACACCCGGAAAATTCGGCAAACGTGCTCAAGGCCTTAAAATTCTCGTTTGAAGAGCACTTGACCAGTAACTAAATTCGTTGGCAAACCTCATACCGATTGTTTATGATGTGGGACACTAATTGCTGATTGCCTCTTGTACTTCTGCGCTAACTTCAACTGATAAACGGCCCACGGAAACATTTATCGAATAGTAGTGCATGCATTAATTGCTAGGACGAACGTAGTTTAGTTTGATGCATCATTAAGGGTATAGTGGTCAGTTCTGTTGTCGCTCGCTTAATGCCGCGCTGGTTTAGCTACGCTCGTTGGAACTGTGTTGCATGGCTTCGTCTGTTCTAAAAAGGCGGTACTTGCGGATTATACTGTGGCAATTAGCATGCAGCCCAAACAACTTGGTCCCCCGGGCTGTTACATGAAGACACTAATAAAGCTATTACACCATTGACTAATCTTACAACTTTTTCCATTATTGGATTAGGTCTTGGCAACGTTTATCTTATATTTTTAGCACATAAGGTGGAAAAGACCAGCTCATTAGTCGCGTAAATCCGTTGTGTAGATGAGGACTAGCATTGGTTGAGCGGTTTGAGCACATCAATAGCGAGTATTGTTCAACATGGGAAAAGCAGGCTGGTGGTCAGTTTAGCATCAGTGGATGAATGGAGCTATTAGGTCAGTAGTAACTGTTCGGAACGAGACCCATAGGTTTTATATTTAGCAGGAACACAAAGTGGTATACAAAGGGATAGTATGTGATTAGTACGTGTGAATAAATCAAAACACCAAATTCCAAATTGTTTTCAGCACAGCCATGCCATCAATATACTGAAATGTTGTCTCTTTTATATTTAATCAGCCGATGAGTACGCGTTTATCCGGGCAACGAAGTTTTACTGTGCGAACTGTCAAACCATATCAGACTGCGATAAGTAAACCAATAATGTGCGATAACTAAGTGACAACCAAATACGGAAAGGAGAACTAAGCTACTAGTCACAGAGACAACGTACACGTTAGAGAAGTCAATCTGGCGACAAAAACTAGGCGATGAAACAAGACGTAACAAAATGTTAGTTACTAGTACCGAATTGGACTTACAAAACGTGAAGAGTTGTCATTCTTGATGGTTTTGGCATTACCAAAAGCCTCCAGGATCGGGTTTGCCTTGAGCAACTGTGCCTCCAGCTCCCCCTGTAAATGAAGAAATCTCACCAGTTGACTCGTGTATTTTTCAATTCTACTCGTCTTGCAGTAACTTCATCATTACGGTAAAGACTACACAAGCAGAAAAGCTAATAACGGTCTCGGTGAGCGGCAACTGAAAGCGAAGCCATTCAACGAGAAGGGAACAGGAAGGAAACTCAACTCAATGCACCATACAAAAAANAAATACAATAAGGGCGACTAGCACCTCTGTTTGCAGGCCCAGTAATGCCGTAGATGAAGCGCTGGTCGGAACCTAAACACCAACAGAACTATCAATCGGACTAAGGACATGCAGCGGTACAAGCAGCACATAGAAAACTTGCCATAGTTGAACGAGACTGAATAATAGGACCATTCTAAAATAATGTAGCGTAAAGGTTAGCTGGGACTGTAAGACTGACAATCCGATTACGCCAAATAGGAGTAAAGGAAGCCAAAGCCGAGAACTTACTATGTTGAGGTCTTTCGACTGTGGAAACAAAATCCGGTGTGGTTATTTCCCGAGGTGAACGTTCCGATTGACACAAACAACGAAAACAGATACGCAACAGGAATAGCATGTCACATGGTTGATAAAAAGTATGAATAAGCAATTAGTATGGCCTAACAGACGCGAATGAACAAAAATTCGGCAATACAACAAAATGGACTTATACATAGAACTCCAAGCAACAAAAAAGTTAAAAGCGGGTGACAAAGAGCCAATAAACCATTTCAGTACCAAAAACTACAAAAGTGAACGATCACTAATTTTCTGTGAATCAGTTCTTTATTCAAAAGTGGGATGTGAGCGGGACTACTGTATTATCACTCTTCGTTCACAGATCCTAGCTCAAAAGCCACTCAGATATCATGATTTACACTTATTTGATCTGCTGAAGTTTTCTTTCAACTTTTATGCGATTATCTTTCGTCTGAGGATAAGCCGACAATGCAGAGATTTTAACATCTCAATGCTTGTCACTCGTTGATCAGTTCAGTTCAGTTTGTATAACCATTAACCAGATATCTATCTAGATAGATAGACAGTTTGAGCGCTAGTGTAACCAGGTTTGGTATGCGTTTTGCACCTTCAAAGTGCAAAATGTTACTTCAAGACTAGTTTAGTCCAGCACCCAGCCGTACCCCAACTGGGGAAGTAATAGAGCGAGTGGGTAAGTTTGGGCACCCGGTGGACGCATCACGGATGAAGTGTCTGCTCGCATACAGAAGGCTTGATTGGCATTTGCCAACTTGAGACATCTGTGGCACCGTCGCGACATCCGGCTAGCTGTAAAGGGTCGAGTGTGTGCTGCAGTAGTTCGGCCAGTTTTGCTATATGGAGCAGAAACTTGGCCATTAACAAGATAAAGATAGACTGTCGGTGTTCGAACACCACTGTCTACGCAGCATTGCACGAATCTGGTGGGGCAGCCGAACAAGCAATGTTGAGGTTAGGCGCAGTTTTAGATAAATGCGGTCGTCCACTGGAGCAAGTGGTCGACCTCCATAGATTACGTTGGTTGGAGCATGTGTTACACATGTCACCAGATAGGTTTCCACGGCGAGCGATGTTCGCCGAGGCGGGTAGTGGGTGGAAGAAAACCAAGGGTGGTCAAGCTAAGACCTGGCATGAGGGTATGAAAACCCTTACCAGGAGTCTGGGTCACGTAGGTCCCGTTAGGCTCCCTGGATGGGGACCTCGGGATGATCATATCCGATGTTTAGACACTGAATGATATGGCTGTGTCTATCTATCATTCTATCTATCCAGGTTACCAAAGTACAGTACAACAAACCGAGTGATATTGGTTCAATGGAGTTTTACACTTATGCATTTTTGCATCCGGATAGTACTACTAAGTATTTCTAAGATCTGCAAGAGGCTTGAAACTTGTTTTCTCGCTTGGACTCCCTGATCATTTTCTTGAGACCTTTGATGATAATGTAAACGCGTTTAAAAGGCTCCAATTCAGCGCTTGGGTCAGGGTTTGTTCTTGGAGAGTTTCTTAAAGAAACCAATAGGATACTCTACTTTCTCGTGCCAGTCTTAGCCTATATCCCAGGCTGTGACCAGAGCTAAGGGGACTAGAATAAGACGACTCCAAAAGTAAGCTAAGACGGGAACTGTCTCTAGAATAACCTGGCCAGGTAGGTGATACATAAAACAACCACTAACTGATCTAGAAAAATGCGTCCTGGATCACAGTAAATTTCATAAAAAAGCTTGATTTCCAGTATCGATTCCACTTAGAATGTCGGAGCTATCATTACTCTCTGCAACAGTTTTTTTACTGACTGCTACCAAAGGTATAGATGAAATATTGGCTACTTGAACGAGAAAAACTAACTTTCAGTTTACAGTATCATTAAATCTGCACTTATTTGCGCCAGCTTTCATTGGTATTTTTCGACGGTCTAATCGGTTGGATAAGGAAAAATCAAAGGGAAGAAAAAACCTTGGAGTAATCCTAAGATGATGATACAGAATACAAGCTAACTAGATGGGTGTGCAAAAGGAGTATACACGGCTGTTTTAGGTATTCACTTATATTGCTGTCTACATAAAGTTTTTTTAATAAACACTCGTGTGATGAACAGCACACGGGGAAAGTCCGTCACGAGGACCTGCTGTTCAGTGATGGAAACCGGTAACCGAATCCCCAGGTCTTGGAGTGGCGAATCACATAAGGCCCCGATAGGTTAGGTGTTACTGGACCGGACGACAGCAAAGCTGCCTATCACCAAAGATGGGCGGCGGGGCTCGAACCGCGGACCATAGGGTCCGAAGCACGCCTGTAGTCTTGTTGAAAAGAACTATATGATCAGCATAAGCACAACAAACAACCACGTAAACGTAATCAACGAATACCTCGATACCGACGTTTATCACACCGGAACCGTTATTTGACGTAGCCAGCGCTTAAACATCAAAAATCCATTTATCCTACTGTATTGGCCGTTTCTGAACGGGAAAACAACTCAACAGACTGCCTCAGCACACGCTGAAACCCTAACAGATTGTGGTGATGCCACAGGCTGTTGACGGTAAAGAAAAGTTTTTAAAAAAAACGGAATTCAGTGTGGTGAGGAGCTAACTGCCAACATTTTACACAACTTAATATACTTGTCAGCGTTTATATTTCATTTGCATTCCACGCGACTCATGTACTTGTCTTGTGCGTATCTCAAGAGAGAACGATGGATAAATATGGTTCTTATCACAATGGTGTTAGACTCACATGGAACTTGGACATAACGTTTGCCGTAGTGGTTTTCTGGGACTTGGCTGAGGTCGCAACTGAAGCCAGGTATTGGATAACTTTCTTTGTATTTTCTGTCTTTCCGGCACCTGATTCACCGCTGAAACGAAAACTCACTTAAGTAACTGACGACATACGTGCAAAGTATGGACTGATCCTCTCGATCTGGTAGATAGCATATGAGAAATATACCGAATTACCTTGAAGCATATTTCTATAGGCGGCATCAGCAATCGAATATATATGTGGTGGTCTTTCGTGTCGCTTTTTCCCCTTATACCATTCAATGATTTCGTCATTGTATATTGGCAAACGTTTATATGGATTAACCACCACACAGAACAAGCCGGAATATGTCTAACGAATAATATTTTCAATAAAATAACCTACATATATCATCCCCGAGAAATAGCGAGAACGCAGATTATGCAGCACCGAGGCTTCGTTTAAATAAGTCAAGTTTGCCATATCTTCCGCCTTTTCATACTTAGGAGGGTTCATTTTTTGTACAACATCACGATGAATTTTGCACTTCTTTCCGGAGTCCGTTATTTGCACTGTGAGCTCCTCTCCTTCCGTTTGGAGCACTGTTGCAGCAACAAAGCCTTGCTTGTCATCTGGCACCCAAACTAATTTCTTGGAAGCCCAATCCGACTGTGCTGCGGTATCATCCACCAGTCCTTTATCCACTCGTAGAAGTTCCACATTTTGCGGATCCATCGATGAACCTTTTTTATCGTCCATAAATTCCAATAAACGGGGGGAAAGTTAACATAAACCACTGAAGCGAAGAACCCGCGCTTTTGTCAAAATTGAACTCCGCGCCGGCTACTCTCTGTTTGTGGTTGCAACCACACGAGAACAAACATATATGTACAACGTAAGGTCAAGTAGGTTCAGTTAGGTTGCATGGGACAGGTGGTGACCAATTGCAATCTAGCTTTCGAAATTCATTCGGTGATGCGCCAATGATTGTGTGTTTGTAGCGGTTTTTCAACCAACAGTTTCAGGTCAGTTCGGTTCAGTTCAGTTCAGTTTGTACAGGACGATGTGTGGCCCGAGCCAATCTTGCGTCCAGATTGATGTGTTGTTGGCTGTTCTTGTGGCTTCCAACACTGCGAGTCAATAGGTTTTTTCTGAAAGGCAGAAAGTAAGGTGCAGTATCACGTCCTGGGCAATGGCGC